TTGCAGCCCACCCTGCCCACCTCTGTCTCTGCGGGTGCACAGAACCTGTCCCCCACTTTACTTGCCATTATCTCTCTTCTTGTGTGCTGGCCTTCAGCTTCCATCCGTTCTGCACCTGCTCCGGCTCTACCCATCTGCAACAGTCCTCTCCACGTGTTTCCCACGCACCCCACTTCTGTGCCCCCATCCCCACCCCCTTGATCCTTCGCCTTTTGCCCCACACCTTAGCTTTTTTCCACATTTCCCTGCCTGCTGCCGTATTCATGAACCCCCGCCCGCGCCCCTCGACTTCAGTTCATCCCTCCTCCATACATCCATCTATCCTCCCTACCGCCCTCCTTCAGTCCATCCAGCCATCCATGCCTCCAAGTCTCCGTCCTTTCCTGGGCCTCTTACCCTGCCCCTTGGCTCTCTCCCTTGACCCCTATTTTCTGTAGGCCCTTGAGTGCCTTTGGTGAACAGGCCTGCAGCCCCTTCTGATCTTTGTCTCCTGGGCCCCAGGGAGCACCTGGCCTCGTGGCCTTTGGGGTGACAACAAGCATCACACCCCTGAAGAAGTTTGCAAGTGAGAAGAGGTGGAGGAGGAGATCTCACGGAGCAGTCTCTAATGACACTTGTTCTCTTTTGAGACAGCTGACTTCCAGCTCTGTTCTAGCATTCTCCACACTTGCATTTGAGGACTTAGAGTGGGAGCTGCCCCTTGTCTTTTGCATGCCTAACACACTACCACTCATGTCTGGATATTACGGTTGCCAATAATCTTCTCACCCTGGAAAGGGGCCACTCACTCGTAGTGAGCTTTAGAGAGCCGACCTAATGGGAGTGCAGGCCACCCTTGGACTGCCCCGTGCTGAGTGGGCTGACAGGGGGCCCTTGTCAGGGTCTAGGTGCACTGAGAACCGGAAATGGAGTCAGACGGATTTGGTGACTCAGAATTGATTTTTTTTCCCCCCCAAGGGACAGGGAGGGGGCTTAGAGGAGGGGGGTGAGGAGAGAGGTAGGGGGATGGGGAAAGAGCTGCTTTGCACAGCTAAGATGTTTTTGTCATTAACCCAGAAACTGAGGTACAAGGGCAACCCCTGGACAAAGCCCCCCTAAGAAGGGGAGGGGCTTGCGTAGCTGATCAAGGAGACTTTGAAGATGCCAAAGGGTCCAAAGACAGCAGTTTCTCTACTCTATGGCCATCCTCTCAGTGCAGGACCTGAGAAGCTGAGTGTAACTTTGATGATACTATGGTAACTTGGGTGGAGCAAAATGAGTTTATGGGGGTGGGGCTCTGGGAGGGTACTTCTCTGGGATGCCACAGAGTAGCAGAAACGACCCATGTAAGCAGCCTCAAAAAGGGGAAGCAAGACCCAGAAAAGAGACATTTACCCACAGTTACCCGTCTAGTTAGCAGTGGAGCCCTGTAGTGTACCTGAGAGTGAAGAGACTTTATGATCCTTCTTAATGGGTCATCTCATCTCAGAGGGCACATGAAGGAAAAATGGGCACCTGTGAATGACCCATTGAAAGTTTCTCCAGGAATTCTGAGTGCTTGTCAGGGAGTTGGGCTTCATACCGCTGGGCTGCAGCCCTGCTGGGTTCTGAGAAGGGGATGGGCCTTCTGAGCTCTGCTTCTCCTCCAGGGGCTGAACTGGAGGAGAGTAACAAAAACGTGAAGAAGCTGGACGCCATGACCCTCATTAAAGAAGGTGGGCGTCAACACACACAGGACTGAGACTCCGGGAAAATTGAACCACCTTTCCTCTCCCTCTTGGGGAGGTAGCCTGAAGCAGCAAGACCAGTGGGGGGCGGGGGAGCTCATTTTGATAGGTCTGAGTCAGCCAGTTGCCCTGGCTCCTGTGGCCTGTTGTTGGAGATCCTCATCATAGTTGGTGCCCACTTACAGGAAAGCCCATACACTTTGGGTCTGGTTAGACTGGACTGTGGAAGCTGGGAGCATCCCCCTAAAAGCCCACATGTCAGTTGGAAGGCAGAGTGCCTTCTAAGTGGGGTGAGAGTGCTCTTTGATCTAGAGAAATCCTGAGTCCTTAACCCCAGTGATAAAGACTTCTGTCATTGCAGACATGTCCATCTTCGGGCACTGCCCTGCCCATGATGACTTCTATTTGGTTGTATGTAACCACTGCAGCCAGGTGGTGAAGCCTCAAGCCTTCCAGAAGCATTGCGGTGAGGGGCGCCCTAGGGAGGTGATAAGGGGACAAGAAGGTGGAATGTGGAACTCTTAGGACAGTGTCAGTTGGGAGGTCAAGTGGGGTAAAGGATGGGGGTGCCAGGGAAAGCTTGAGTATTGTAGGTGTTAGGGTTAGTGTTTGAACAAACTTCTAGCATCCAGTAGAGTTAAGAAGTTTGAACAAACTTCTAGCATCCAGTAGAGTTAAGAGGTTCAAGAAACTTGGTCTAGAATTTTGAATCTTGAAGGCTCAATTTTGGATGGGAAGGAGACAAACTCACAACCCAAGCTTTAGCAATTCAGATTCTGTCAAAGAATTGGTGGGCTGGTTAGGAAATTGGGGAAGGAGGCAGTCAATACCACTCACCTCAGTTGCTCTCTCCACCTCCTGGTGACAGAAAGAAGACATGGGCCCCTCAGCAAGCTTTATGCCCGGGCCCCACCCCCACCTCCAGCCCCTGCCAGCTCTCAGAAATGCCATGTAGTGAATGGGCAGGGCCCAGCTTGTAGAGCCCCAGGTTCCACCAAAACCTCCTCCAGGGAGAAGGGCCAGGGGTCCCGGAGCCGTGGCCATCAGCCTCCTGAGAAGACCCAGAAGGACAACCTCTGGTAAGAGGCTGGAAACCCCCAAAGACTAGCCCTGACCCTGACCCAAGGAAGGGTTGACACTTAGCCCTGGGTTGCAAGATACTGCTCATAGGAAGAAATAGCTAACCCCATCTCCAGCTCCTTTCCATATATTCCAGGGAACATGGGCTCCCCCTTTTTCCACGCCTCTCTTGGAGCCCACCCAAGTTCCAGAGCTAGGGAGGAGATGGCTCTGGGCTAGAGTCCAGACCCCAGTCCCAGTTTCCCCACCTCCCAGCCCATACCCTCTCTCCACGTGTAGCCTTTTCGTGCCTGTGGTGAATCTGGAGAAGATGTCCAGTCTCCCGAAGCCTGATGGACATGGAGTCAGGGTGGCTCCACCCTCTGCTTTCCTCAGTCAGCCAGGAGGCCTCCCCAAGGACTCCCCTGGAAAAGTCCCCACGGCCCCCTCTCCTAAAGAACCTCCTGGCAGAGAGAACATGGAGTTAATCCCGGGTGAGGGCTCCAGTCACCGGGCCGAAAGCAGCCCCCCGGAGAAGGAGCCCAGTGGAGCCAGGCTGCCTCCTAAAACCCACCGAAAGATGGCTCGTGAGTAGTCATAGACATGGGGCTCAGAAAGGCAGAGTGGACACTTCACTGGGCTTCTCTGTTCATGGCCCAGAAAGGTTTGAGGTTATGAAGGAGTGGACCTGGCCAGGTCTGGCCATTACATCTTACAGGGTACAGAAGCACCATTACCACCTGTCCCGCTTATTCCCAGGAAGCTTTGCTGGTCTAGGTCTCTGAGCCAGTCTGAGTGCCCCTGTGCCCAAGTCAGCAAAGCCACTCATCCTCACCTTGGGCTACTGACCATTACCTCCTTCCTCATTCCACAGCTGGTTTTCCTGGCATCTCAGATGCCTGTGGCTGCTTTTGCTTCTTGGTATGGGCTGCCCTGCTTTGGGCTTCTGGTCTTCCAGGAGTGCTTGGGCCAGGGATGGGGCTGAGGTAGTTTATGCCCAGCAGGTAGCAAGACCTGAAGATGAGGCTCTTCTACCTTAGTCCTACTGTTTCTTAGGCCCTTGGCAGGAAAAGGCCAGATTCTTCCTTGGACAACAAAAAAAAAAAAAAAAAAAAAAAAAAAGGACTTGAGATTCATTGGAACTCTATCCCCACAGGTAAAGAGTTTGACCTTAACAGGCAGTGTGGGGTCATAAATCCAGAGACCAAGAAGATCTGTACACGCCTGTTGACCTGCAAGGTAACCCCATCCCTCTGCATGGTGATTAGGGGCCAGCATAGACATGGAACCTTGGAAAGGAGCATTCAGAAGTTACTAGAAACTTAGTTCAAGGGGCTGGAGAGATGACTTAGTGGTTAAGAAAAGACTGCTCTTCTAGAGGACCTGGGTTCAATTCCCAGCAACCACATGGTGGCTCACAACTGTCTGTAACTCCAAGATGATACCCTTCCTTGCACATACATGCAGGCAAAACACCAATGCACATAAAATAAATAAATAATTTTTTTAAAAAAGAAAGAAACTCAGCTCAAGGGATGGGGGTTGGCATACACCAGGGAAGGAGAAGAGAAGCTACCCTGGGGGAAAGGTAGGGAGTACCTTCAGATCCCCATACCCAACAGACTGTTTTGTCCCCATGAGAGAGTGAAATGGACACACAATCACCCTCACTCACAACGCACATATTCTCTCTCTGAGTCAGAGAAGACCGATACCCCTCAACCCTGCTCAGATTACCCTACCCCTCTACCCTGCTGTATTCTAGATCCACTCAGTGCACCAGCGCAGGGAGGTCCCAGGCAGGACCAAGGACTTTGACGTGCTAGTGGCTGAACTGAAAGCCAGCTCTCGTAAAGGAGAGTCTCCCAAGGAGAAGAGCCCTGGACGAAAAGAACCAGCTCTTGAACGCCCCTCCCAGGAGCCTCCCTCTGCCATCCAGGGTGTGGCAGCAGCAGCTGCCCCCAACAACACCTCTGCTCGTTCTAAGCAGGCCTACCCATACTGTGTACTTCCCAGGTATGTACAGAATCTTAACCCAAACTAACTTAGGGATACTCAGCCCCTAAGGTACCAGGGAGCCCTGGAGACAGGCCCAGGGAATGTCCTGAAGATGTGCTCACTTCCTCTAAGAATGGGAAGATAACTAGAACGCTACCAGTGGTGTGAGGCAGGTGACTGCCCTATTCCTGCCCAAGCACATTGCAGTACTCCAGCCTCTGTGAGGTGTGCCAGATACACTACCTGGGATATGAACTTTTTTCAGCTACTCCCATGGTTTAGCACTTGTCATCAAGGAGCAGGAACGGGTCAGGGTTCTGGGTGAAGCAGTTCTACTGTATAATCATCCCACTTGTGTGCAGAGGCTGCCTTACTGATGGAAACTCACATGACCTCTACCTGTAGTACAGGGGTAGACATGAAACACAGGCTCAGCTCGTGAACAGGCTCACAGGAGTGTGTGATGAAGAAGAGAGCTGAGGGAGTTGACTAGGCTGACCAGTGCTGGGTGTAGTTCAGCTGGGAAGATTTTCTGGAGGAAGGGAGTCTGAAGCAGATTTTCTCTATCAAGAGGCAAGGCCTAGGAAGGGGCTGGGGAGAGAATCCCTTGGAAGCTGTGACCCTTGGTTCTGTCTCTTAGTGAGCTATATTGTACTTTCCTGTCTTTTCCCGACCCCTTCATCTTCCTCTGAGTACCCAGAAGGGTGTGTCTACCCTAGCTTGGATAGCCCCCCCACCCCTCCACCCTCCGTCATTCACATCATCTTCATATCCTTTGGCCCTTCCAGGTCCCAGGCCTCCTCTGAGAGTGAGGCGGATGATGAAGGTCCCTGTGGTGGTGATGGGGATCCAGGCCTATTCCCATTCCCTCTGCCCCGGGGCGGGGCCCAGGCCTCCAGCGAGGAGAGTGAGGAGGAGGGGACACCTGATGATCTCCACCTTCCCCCTGACTGCCATTATACAACCCGGCCCCCTAGGCCACAGGCGGTAAGGACACAGGACAGGGAACTGGGATGGAGGGTGGCTGAGTCTTGTAGGCAGATCCTTCCTGTATCTCAGGCCCTACCAACCAAGTTCTTTCCTCTGCCTCCAGTTTTGCACATTTGGAAGCCGGCTGGTAAGCCCGGGATGCTATGTGTTTAGCCGCCGGCTGGACCGGTTTTGCTCAGCACTCAGCTCCATGCTAGAACGGCACCTCAGCTCACACATGTGGAAGTGAGTTTTGTGGACTCAGAATCTCCTTTCTTGGGCTTTGGTATACTTGGGCTTCAGAAGCCCCAGCCTGGCATGCTTTGTTGGCTGATTAAGAACCTAAATTGGGTGTGGCATGGTGGGGTGAGCCTTGGTAGCCTGGAGGAGGGCATGGATGGGTGGCTGGGGTGAATCTAGACTCTTACTCATCACTTCTAATACCTATTAGGTAATGTAGGATGGGAGAATGCCCAAACCAAGAACAAAAATTAGGTGGTTACTGGGTCTACATGCTAGTCTACATGTCTTGTACTGATAGGTCATTCCTTCTCTTGTGCCTTCCTCGGCTCTTTGTTCCAGTGTTTCCCAGCAGGGGGCAGCAGCTTTGGGTCTTTGCTGGCCATCTGAAGGTGCAGAGACTGGTGTATATTAGTGAGGCCTGGAATTTGCTCAATATCACAGTGAAACTCTCTCTTTGCTACAGGAAGATCCCACCAGCTGCTGAACCTCCATCCCATCTTGTCAGCCCCTCCTTATCTGATCCCCTGAGTCCATCCTCTATGGGCAGCTGCCCCCGACTTCCAGGCCCACCCCCAAGACCTGCCTGCCCAGCCTCCATACCACCCATGAAGGACAGCCTTGTCCCTAGCTACCCTGCAGGCTCCCCCAGTGTAGCAGCTGCCTGCAGCCAGGCAGAGTGCATGGGCGGTAGCCAGGCTATTACCTCACCACTGCCTGCCAACACTCCATCTCCATCCTTCAGCAAGCTGCCACCTTCCAAGGCCAGCAAGTCGTCCAAAGGCAAGGAAGGGGTGGAGATGGAGGCCCCTTCTCGAAAGAGGAAGTTATCCCCTGGCCCTACCACTTTCAAACGGACCTGCATCCTGGAGCCTGCTGGAAAAGGCAAACCCTCTGGCTGTCGGGGTCTCTCAGCCAAGACTAAGACAACCCTGAGCATGGGGCTTAATGGAACAGTGGGGCCAAGAGTGAAAAGAGCAGGTCCCCTGGACTGTCGGGGTTCCCCTCATTCATCCCCCATACCAGTCAAGGCTTCTCAGCTAGAGAACCGGGGAATGGCTGGCCACCCAGCTAAGGTCCTGCCATCCAACTGCCTCTCTGAGGAGGAGGTAGCCAAGAAGCGGAAAAACCTGGCCACTTACTGCCGGCCAGTCAAGGCCAAGCACTGTCAGGCTGGTGTCCCTCCTGATGGGACCTGCTCTGTGCGTCGCAAGAAGCCAGGTCCAGCCCTGCCCTTTGAGGAGAAGTGCTCTACACTGAAGGTACCAGTCCAGCTTCCTGAAAAACATGAGCAGAAAGGGGTCAGAGGGCTAAGGCTGGGGAACACAGTAGGTATGTGACATGCAGAGGGAACTAAGGAGATGACTCCAAAAAAGGGAATAAAGGGGAAACTGAGAGAGCCCTTGAGCCATCTACTTTAGGGAGAGGTTGGTTGGCTCTTTCCAAGGTGACCCCAGCTTTTGCCTAAGGGACGTTTCCTATGCCTAGTCTCCTTTGGGCTTAGGACACGCTGTCCCATATCCCTCTACTCATGCTTTAATCTAAGGACACTTTTTTTTTTTCTTTTTTAACTGACTGTGACCCTCCCTCTATGGAGTTACTTTTCCTTAAGGGAGAGGTAGTTTGGGTCCCAGCATGCTGAGTTTGTGGATGGGTGGGCTGCTCTAATTCTTTTAGGACATTAGAAAGCAAGTACTCAGCTTAAGGTCCACAGTCATTACTGATTACAGCAGGTTCTCCAGGTTTCTAGTAAAGCTTGCAGTTGGGTTTATTTGCCTTTTCTGTTGAAGCCTGCTTTGATCTATCCCTGTGATCTCTGTAAGGAGGGACTTCTGGGAGGCGAGACGGGGTAATAGGCTGCTGAGTTAGGCACGATTAGGTGCATGCCCACTGGCCTGGCTCCTATAAGGGAAATCTGATAGTGTACAGGTGTGTGCATGTGCATTCTCCAGCTTCACTACCCAGTCGGCCTCTGTTAGGCTGGCATGCATTTTCCCCTTGCTCAGATGTATTTATCAGGCCAGCTGAAGGAATTCCGGGTTAGCCCAGAAAAGCCCAGAAATTTACTGAAAAGGATAACGGGTAGGCCCCTTCCCTGATCCTGTCTCTTACCTCTTGTCTTCCTGCAGTCAAAAGCCCATTAACGAGAAAGTGCCTGCCCACTGCAACGGAGCCGCCAGCACCTCCTCCCTTCCAGATCCGGGCCCCAGGCTGCTGCCGCTTTTTATAACTTTATATTATTTTTTTTAAGAAAAAAAAAAAACTCTTTAAAATACCTCAAGACTGTCTCCCTGTTCTGTTGCTGCTAAGAAAATATAAAAACAGAAACATAGAAAAGGATGAAAATTGATGTAGCCGAATGAGTGTCCTTACTCTCCTCAGCCCCATCCCAAGAGGCTGAGACAATAAGCCATACACTTGCACACAGTGCACAAAACCTGGAGCTGGTGTCCCTGGGAATCTTCTTCCAGGCAGGATGATAAGGCATATGACTCTGAATGAGCAAGGCACCCTGAGTCTTAAGAGAAACTCTGGTTCCATTGGGAAAGGAAATGAGAAAGGGAGGGGAGTCACACTTCTGACGCTACCCTGGGATTTTTGTTCCGAGGTTCTGTGGGAGTTAGCTTATGTCCCTACCAACTCTGGGCTTCCTTCCATTCCTCTACAAACTATTTCCTCAGTCTCTTTGGCTGTTCATGCCCTTCCCACTTCTAAAAGCAGCCTTAGTTTCTCAACCATGTAGAGGCTGAGCTTGGTGATCACTGCTTTAGAGGTCCTGGACAGCTTTTTTTTTTTTTTAATATATGTATGTGTGTCTGTTTGTG